TTTCTTTCTTTCTTTCTTTCTTTCTTTCTTTCTTTCTTTCTTTCTTTTAAAAAAAGTAATTCCAAGCATAGCTTCATTCCACAGACTCTTCACAAACTTCTTAGAATGTCTTTGTCAGTCAGGCATGGTGGCTCTATGACCCGAGGACTGAGGAGGCAGAAGCAAGAGGCTTTAGGTATTCAAGGCATCCAAGGCCTCCCTTGGCTGCATAGTGAGAGTTCAAGACCAAACTGGACTTCATGAGAAACTAGCAGGAAAAAGAATTTTTTTCCTTATCAAACAAAAAGCACGAAGATTGATGCTGAAGTTTATATTGTGATGGACTGTGTCAGAGCCCTTCACTATCCGGGTGTAGTCCTTGATGGGGTAACAGCTATGATGATTCTCATATTTACGCCATGGAAACTGACAGTTGATACAAAATAGGAACACAATAACCAAATAATAGGCGACAGTATCATTTTTCAGTCATGTAGAAAAGACATTGAGCAAAATCTGACATTCATTCTTGAAAACAAAAAGCAGAGCTATAGGGGACCTTCCTTGGCCTGCTAATGGCCGGGCTCACTTCCTATAGCTGTCAGAGGCCATTACTACAAATGACTGGTTCAAAACAAGAAACTTATTTTCTCAAAATTCTAGAGAAGTCTGAAATTAAAAAGTATCAGCAAAGATCACGTGCACCCTCTAGTGGCCATTGAGAAGAATTCTTCCTTGCTTCTAGCGGGTTTGGGTAGATACACTGTCCCATCTCTGCCTCCACCTCAAAGTTGTCTTCTTGACTGGTGTCTCTACTATGACTATCTTATAAAGATTCTTGTCCTTGTATTGTATTTAGGATCCATCTTAATTACTTCAACACAAGGTCAGCACCTAAGGTTTTCATATGGGATTGCCTCCAAACCGGACCTCTGGGTTTTGTGGTCTTTGCTGTATAAATCTTTAATTTAGAAGGTCAAATTCCCCTCCTCTCCCACTTTATATATATGTAAATCAAATAAAGTAACAACCACAGGTCATAGGGATTAGGACAAAATTAGTGCATGTATTGGGGGAAGGTATTATCTTTTAATCCTCAGCACTGGTAAAAATTCAGATCTAATTTGTTGTAGATATCTGATGGACTGATTATAATTTTATTTGGAAAGAAAAGAACACAGAGGAGAAAAAAATAACCTTAAAATGTAGGTATGGGTGTACCTTAAGAAGGGGAGGAAAAGGAAGAGGAGGAGAGGAAGAGATGGAGGAAGAAGCGTGTGGAGAAGGAAAGTAGAGAGGGAGAATGAGAAGGGGAGTAGGAGGAATACAGAGGAAGAATGAGAAAAAATGAAGACAAGATGCTTGAAAGGCTGGAGCTACCCGGTCTTAAGGCCTACTTTAAAACCATAAAAAATGATACTGGAAGAGACAAACAACAGAAAAAAATTGAAGCAGAATAGAGTTCAGACACAGTTCTGCATTTTGTTTCGTTTGAGACAGGGTCCTATGCAGTCCATGCTAGCTAGCCTTGAACTTGGCGTGTATTGGAGAATGACTCTGAACTCTTTATCCTCCTGCCTCTACCTCCCAAGTGCTGGGACGACAGACAGACATGGCCATCACTCTCAGCTTGAGATCTGCTGATTTTTTTTTTTCAGCAGAACTGGGAAGAGAAATAATAGTGTGGGAACTGGTTACTCACAGGGGAGGCAAAACCTTCTTTTTGTATTTAAAACAAGAAAGTGAAATCAAGCCAGATCATAAATCAACATAAAACATAGGCAATATAGAAGTTCCAAAACTGCTTTATTCATTGTAATAGCCACTAGCCCTGTTAGCACCTTAACTGCAGCAAGTCCAAACTGAGGATGAACCAACCTGTGAAAACTATACTTCACTTTGCAAGGACTCTGGATTAAAAGACAATATACAATGTTGCATTAACAACTTCAGAAGATGACTGGAAAGATGGCTCAGCAAAAAAAAAAAAAAAAAAAAAGGCTCTTGACACACAAACTTGATGAGCTACATGCCATTCCTGATGGAAAGAGAGAAATAACTCCACAAAATTATCCTCTGACCTCCATATGCATGCCGTGGCATTTGTGGGTCCCACTACATACAACTAACGCATACTAATACATGTTAAAAATAATTTTGTACTGACTACATGTTGAAATGAAAATGCTCTAGAAATATTAGTTTGAACAAAACTTGAGTTTGCTGGAGGAAGCTGTTTTTACTATCTTATTGTGGCTGCTGGAAAATC